CTTTAGGATTCTGGGGACTTCTAGCAACTCGCTTTAGGCTGTTTGATACTGGTACATTCATGGAGCTGCGGTTGTTCGATTCCAGAACGCCGCTGGCCGGTGCTGAGGTGTTGCCCTGTAACCTGCTGACTGCAGGAGCGTGAGGCCTGGTAGAGAGGTCTGGGGATGCTTTGGGGTGGGCATTCCAAGGGACAACCAAGGGTTGCTGTTGGGACGACGCTGGGCGGAGCTGGGGCGAGTCGTGTTGCTCTGTAACCTAGCCAAGTGGGAGTGTGAGGCCTGGGAGTGTGAGGCCTGGGAGAGCCCGACAGGGAATAAGACAGTGTTGGATGGTTTTAGAGAGTTTTGTTTGGGAGTCTAGGGGTTCTGAGCATTCGAAAAGAGGTCAGTAGTCATTCATAGTTTTTCAACCTCTTTTTAATTCTCTTGAATTTCTTCAATAGTTCTCAATAATTCTCAGATTGATTCTCAGCCGAAGCCGGGTAATGGCCCTGGTCTCTCAAATCATCGAGTCAAATGACTTGTGTAACTCTATATGGGACGCTGGGTCCGGTTCCCAGCACGTGCTGCTGCCCACGAATAGACTGGAGCATTTGTCCCAAAAAAAAAAAAAAAAAAAAAAAAAAAGAGATGGTGGCTTAGCTGTTACAAGTCTTGCCGGAGAGAGGTAAGAGGTTTGTGGGGTTGGTGCAGCTCTTATTTGGTGAGCGCAGAGGTTTGGTGAGTTCACTTGATTTCGCTTATTGGAGGATGTTGCCTCATCGCGAGAGGAGGAAGAGTTGAGGAAGGTGTCCACTGTGTGGTTGCGGCTGCTGTTCTGAGTGTTCTCATCCCGCAAACTATGTGGTGGAGGAGGTCGGCTCGTCAAGGGGGTTGGATGGAAGAGGTAGTATGGTTCTTTTGTTTGTTGCCGGCTTGTAAAAAACACAATTAAAGCAATTTAAAGGTAATTTTTGGGTGGACTACTTCTATTCGTCTTCTTCGAACTATGTGGTGGAGGAGGTAGGCTCGTCGAATGAAGATGAATGAGTTGAAGTCTGCTTTTAACCATTACGGGATTGGGTAAGGTTGCTTGCCCACTGTTTTTATCTTCCGAACTATGAGGTGGAGGAGGTCGGCTCGTCGGAAGATGATGAAGAGTAGGGGGGCTGGACGGAAGTGGGAGGATGGTTTCTTAATTTTTGCAGCTTGTTCGGAAAAAGAGGTTTTCTCATGAGAAGCGAGTTTTAACAGGTTGGCAGTTCACTCAGGTTTTCTAAAATTTCTTGGTTTGTTCTCAGATTTTCTCATGTGAGGCGAGGTATCAGTCCCGGTATTTCAGTGCTTGTAATTTCATATGGGGCGCTGGGCCCGGTTCCCAGCATGTCCTGCACCTGTCTCTTATACACATCTAGATGTGTATAAGAGACAGGCCCTCCAGTGCCCCCCTCCATTCCCTGGCCCAGCTGTAGGATAGGCAGGGTAGGCAAGGAAGTGATAACTGGGATATGGGACGCTGGACCCGGTTTCCAGCATATGGGCATCATTTTTCCACTGGGTTACTTAAAAATATCATGGGACGCTGGACCCGGTTTCCAGCAGGTGATGCTCCCCACCAATAGATGGAGTGGCCCGTCTGGCAAAGCCTCCATCTTGGTGGTTCTCTTACCACCACCAGGTTGGAGGTTTTCCGCATGGGGCCTATTCCAAAAAAAAAAAAAAAAAAAAAAAAAGAAGGCGTCTTCACCCACAGGGTGCCAGATCAACATGAAAAGCTAGCCATATTTGAAAAACCTTCCAGCATTAAGGCCATCTTGACTAAAGAGAGTGACTTCAACGGTATCATGAGCCTAATGGAGGACAAGAGGCAACCTCCGGGCAGTTCTTTCTCATTCTGTATCATTATGGGCTGGGGAAAGGGAGGAATAAACTTTGCAACCGAACCATCCAAGGTGGTCCAGGCCCCATCAACCATGGGGTAACTGATATACCCCCATCTGGTTTCTGACTGGGCCGGACTGGCCAGTCTCCCCTCAATGCCCCTGGTACTGAAGAAACCCCTGTACTTAGCTTTCCTGTGCTTTCTTTTCGTCCAATCTGCCCATGTCATCCTTCTGATGTGATCAAGAATCCATTGGAGAGTGGTCACATCTGAGTAAAAACGTTTATTAAAAACCCTGGCATTCCTTAGTTTCCAGATGATGTCCATAATTGCTGCCCTTGCAGGCTGTTGCAACCAATGCCATATACCCCCATCCTTTCTTGAAGGAAACTTGTGGTGGGAGGATGCCATCCATAACGAACCGTTCATCCCAAACAATCTTACACTTGGAGAATCTCTGCCAGTGAGCGCTCCACCATATCCAAATTCTACAAGACTCGATACATTCCCAGGGTGAGTCGGTGACCACAAATGCACCACAGTCTCTTCCGCCTTTTTGAACCTCACACAGATTCTTTCCACCAGCGGCATGTTCCTATGCCATTCATAATGAACTGTTCATCCCAAATAATCTTACACTTGGAGAAGCTCTGCCAGTGAGCGTTAGCTGCACTACACGATCTCCAAATTCTACAAGACTCGAGACATTCCCACCACAAATGCACCGCAGTCTCTTCCACCTTTTTCCACCTCCCTCACACAGATTCTTTCCACTGGCGGCATGTTCCTATGCCACCCATAACCAACCGTTCATCCCATGGCAAATAACCTTACACTTGGAGAAGCTCTGCCAGTGAGCGTTCCACCATCTCCAAATTCGTCAAGGCATTCCCACAACAAATGCACCGCAGTCTCTTCCGCCTTTTCGCACCTCCCTCAAACAGATTCTTTCCACCGGCAGCACGTTCCTCTCAGCTAACCACACTGCCTTAGGGATCGTCCTATGCGACTGCAACCAGCATAGACTTGCCATTTTGACCGAGTGGATTCTTTAAGGATTCCCCTAGCCTGTTAAGATCCGCGGACAGAATTTCTTCTCTTTTCACCGGTGGGCCGTGGCTGTCTTCTCAGCATTCCACTTGCTTTTAATAGCCAACAAAGGGATTCTCTCACTCTTTGTCATTAGTCTGTAGCCAATTCTAGGCCCGTACTCTAAAATTGTGGTTTTGCCCTCTATTTTTTTGTGGTGTCCAATGTCCATCCCCAGAGATTTGGAAGTGTTCGCAATTTTGAAAATCGGGCTTGTCCCAAGGGGACCCTGTCAGTGCTGTCACCCTCGATTTGCTGCCCGTTCCTACTGTCTAACTGCTTCCTGACAAACACCTGGCAGTGCTTAGTCTCACCGGCCCCCCTAGCAAAATTTCTTCAGGCTCTCCTCCATCCCTTGACCGCGGTAAGATAATAAGCAGGCGTCCGTCCTGACGGTCCTGCTGTCCCATAACCTAACCTGACTCCTCAAAGCTAAGGCAATTTTGTCCTGCCTAAGGCTTACCATATTGACTCCCCAAGGGCCCAGGGCTTAAACTGTACCAGGAGGATCCTCCTTTCTGCCTATAATCCAAGGATCTTCCTAGGAAATCCACTGGTTGTTTACGATAGACTTCCATTCCAGAGGGATACAATTTATGATTTCTTTTAATTTCTCCTGTGCTTGCTTCACATATTTCAGTTAATTTTTGGCCCTATAGGTGATTGCCAGTCGCTAATATCCCTGTTCCAAAGATCCTTAACTCCTGATTTTCTAGAGTTTTTGGCCCTAGGTCCCACCGCACAATTGGAAGAGAGACTCTCAAGGAATCTCAACACACATAATATGTCTTCCTTTTCTTTTGAGATGCACCTGACACCTCTTTGCAAATCAATGGTTCTTGAGTGGTCATCCTTGAAACCTCCCGTGTTGCAGGCCGTGGCCTTGTGTGTTTCAAGAGGAACTCTGAAACGGTACCCTCTACTGACACCTGTTGAAAGATTTTGCGGCCAGTGCATTCAAAAAAGAGTGTGTGGGGGCGCAGAAAGTCCTGAAAATATGCTTTCAAGAGTGGTGTGGTAAGGCCCTAGCACAGGGAACTGCTGGTATCTTGGATGCCATCCATTTCCTGATGGTCTGGCCTGGGGCCCTGGGGCCCTGGGGCCTGGACTACCTCGCTAAGTTACCTCGATGTGGACTGGAACTTGGGAGAAGAAATTTGTGGTCCAGAAAGCAGACGGCATGTGGAGACCGTAGGCGCATGTGGAGACCGTAGGCGCTGTAGCGTAATGTTGAGGCTGGGCCAATGCATGGACAAAGAGAGGGCAGAATGATACGTCATTGTGAGGAGCAGTCCGGAGGGGAAGGTCAGACCAGGCAGGGGATTTTGACTGCTGGTGGGAATAGAGAGAAGACTTAGGGAGGCTTTTCACAGACTTCCCTCCTGGGGATATAGCTGGAGCCTGGAGCAGACAATGCCAGACATCCCTCGTGGGGCTTTTCGTAGACTTTCCTGCTTTTGGACTACTGCAGAGGAGGTAGAGGAGACTTACCTGTTGGGCCCATAGCTGCAGCTGCAAGTGGGAGCCACTCAGCAGAACACAGAAGACTCAAGATTTCATCTTTCGCTGGTCAGTACCCTCCATCAAGGGAGTGTTGCCAGAGTGTGGAGAGAGACGTGTTGTAACACTATTCCAGGATTGAGAGGGTGACACAGTGTGTGCGTGCGTGTCTGTGTGTGCATGTCTGTGTGTGTGTGTGTGTGTGTGTGTGTGTGTGTGTGTGTGTGTGTGTGTGTGTGTGTGTGTGTGTGTGTGTGTGTGTGTGTGTGTGTG